AAAAAAAAAAAAGAATTCAAATCACAACATACTGAACACAATTTTATAGTGTAGCTACTCCTATTTGTTAGAGTATACATATTAAAAAAAAATATATAATTTGCCTTAGGTGACTGCCTCTCACAAAGAAGTCCAAATCTTTCCATGAATTTCACTAAGAAGTCAAAGTTCTTGTCCAAATCTTCAACAATATCCTTCCAAAGAAACTTCAGTAGACGTTCCTCAAGTATTCCTTTGTCCAACTTTCTCCAACTCTGCTTCATTACTGCTGACTGTAAAACAAATAATGTGATATTTATAGGTCTATAGTTAATTTATGGAAAACTCTGAATATTTAGCAATTGTATAGAAAATTAGAACCCAATTTAGAATTGCGTAAACAAACAAGTACATGTTTACTCAAATTTCCTTAACAAAGAAACAGGTAAATTTCTTGAACTGAAATCCCTGTAATTGAACCAAAGTTCTATAGTTGTTGAAGTTCATATACTGCATAAGCACATCTTGAGGTCTCCCTCCAATTAGAAAAAAAAATATAATGAAAATAAATTTAGGCTTTTATTCAGTACTACATAGACAAGTGACCATTTATGACAGGCTTAAATTAAATGGAGACCTATATTAGCACAATGTGTGTAAAATTGCTTAAATCAGGTATAGACCTAAACAACTGCTAAGCTATCTCCCCGCCGCCCAAGGCAGGAGGTGCTATTATACACGCCTCCAGCAGCATGCAGCAGCCTAGCTAACAAAATGTCAGAAAACTTTTTCTGACGCATGCGCAATTTTATTCTAAATGTCCACACACACACACACACACACGCAAAATGTGATTGCAAGAGTCCCTATTGCATTGTATGCATAGGAACTAAAAATTATCCCTAATAACTGAACGACATTGCAAAAAATTATTAAATAATAATAATAATCAGTTTTTTTATACTCAGACCCCCACCTCACACACCGCAATCTAGGATTTTGGTAGTGCCAAAAAGAAATTCCATGTCGAGTGTTGTATGTGCACATAATAATATTATCATTAGACAACGCATCATTGTATGATACTATCCTGTCAATTACAAGTTGTTGATATGCATTTCATTGGATAAAAGTGCCTTTTTGAGTTTAACCAAATTTAACTTGAAGATGAAGAGACAATCAAGCCAAAATGCCAACGTCAAGAAAGTACTAAATTAATTAAGTTCTGTATCTGCATGTGATTCAGGGACTCAGCCAAATGGGGTCGAAGGGGTCCTGATTCCCCTCGATTTAATCAAAAGATTTAAAATCCTGAAAATGATTGGTAATGCGAAAAAAATATAATATTTGAAAAGAGGCTACCCTCCTTTTATTTATGATTTACTGGGTAAATGAGTGACCTTTGCCTCTGAGACCCGGTGTACACACATGTCATGTAGAAATCTCAAATGCCTTGTACATATAATAGCAATAATTAAAGTTGAAATAAAAAAACATTGTTACAATCACTGCAACTCATTGGTTACCTTTATCGAGGTAGCAAATGAAAACACTGTATTTTATTACAGTAGTTGGTATAATCAGGGATGAGTATAAATTACAGTTTACCCTCCCTGAGCAGTTTACCCTCCCTCTCATATGTTCAAGTTTGTTCTCCCCATCTAATCACTGTATTTGATACCTCTCGCCATCACCACCCGTAAAAAAACCGCGACCACTTTTTGACTTTTGGATTTTTCTTATGATTTACCTCCAAAAGCGACCACCTTAAAAGTTTGTAATGTATTATATATGATAAACGGTCACAAAGAGAACGTACATTTAATGGTTTACTTCAAGAATTTTGTCTGTGTTCATAATTTTTTTTTATTAATAATATTATTATTATAATTATTATTATTATAATATTATTGTTCTTGTTGTTGTTGTTATAGTATTATTGTTATAATTATTATTATTATTATTATTATTGGCAAACAGTGTTTGTAGCTGCTGTTGTTACTATTATATTATAATTGTTAATTACCAACCTGTAGCTCTGGAATGATGACAGTGAAGACAGCCTTACAATAGCCAACTAAACTCAATGGATTAACAACAACATCATTTTGTAGTTCCTTAATTGTACGGATGAATACAATTTCACCAAGATCGTACAGATAATCTAGCAAAGCAATTTGGGCATTTTCATCTGATACTCCACACTTTGTAGCAATAGACTTCACCTGGAAAAACAAAATTATATTTGTAGGCAGAAATAGCTAAAGTAGATTAATGGAATAGCCATGGCAGTGGGGGCTTCTGGTCAATGCTCAAAAGAGCCTCATAACAGATTTACAATTGGGCAAATGTTAATTTTGATTGGATAATTACCGGTTGTTACGTCACAGTAACATGAATTGTACAGAGGGGATTGACCCAGGGTTCAGATTTGATACTGGGAGAAAATGAAGTTAAGAGGTAGAGTATGTGACGCCAATATCACCTATATCTGGGAATTCCCCTGTTCATACATCTTGTACAGTAGGCTTAGAATGAAGAGTAAGTTACCCGTTGTATAATTGTGCTAATGAAGTAGCAGTTGCCAGTGAACTTAGCAACTGTTATACATGTAAGCATGTTCAACTGAGTTTAAAATCAAATCGGAAAGGTAAACTTTTCGTGAACCCTAGCTCGAAGGCATCCTTATAGACGTCGATCTAGGAGGAATGCTACATTATATATGACAGAATAACCAATAGGCAAATAGTGTTGCAATGTCTAACACCTGATCCTGTTTGTAAACGTATAATTTGAAATTACAACAATACATATAAAATCTACAATAGTATATTTATTAAATATAAAAGTATATATGTTATCCATACCTCTTCCAAAGGACAAATCACTTTCTCCTCACTTAATTTTTGGATTTCACTTTGAAAATGCACCCAACTGAGAGGAATCGTCCTAACCATTATCTTCATCAGCTTTTCCAGTTCCTTTTTAAGCTTTGCAATATTTTCATCATTCAGTGAGCTGTTTTCCACACTAAAATATGTTGTATGTACATGTGATTCATAGGGAGTGCCTACTAATGCACGTTTTATTTTGTCAAACTTCTCTTTCACCTAAAAAGTCAAACAAAAAAGAAGTATATTCTAGTAACAAGGTATAGTAAAAACAATTATTCATATATGTGATTAAATTGGTAGTTAGAAAACAAAACAAAATTAGTCCTAACAAATTTTGAAGCAAATGTAATTTTGCACCGAGAGCATGCCACACTTTGTTTGAATCAGAGTGTAAATGACTCATTTTTGTTGTGGCACTGATAGTGTTGCTTCGCGTGCAATTGGAGTGTGTTATAATAACTTCATCAAAAAAGCATCCTTTTCTATCCACATATGTCTTGGTGTCACGGGTTATGTCCATAACTGTCCAATGCTCATAATTTCAATAGTTATAATTTATCTCAGTAACTTGTTTAAGGAAACTAGTACATCGATCCTCTTATCACAAGATCATTCAAGCATTAATTTGATGTCAACCAAAAATTAATCTATTGTACTAACTGTTGTGTTAGTGCGGACTTGATTCTGCATGAACAATTTGCATATGGCCAACTAATTACTTAATATGGTATATGGAAATACTAATTTTAGCTTGTTCATAGTTTAATTATTTTTAAAGATTTGGTTGCAACAAGATACGTAAACTACTGTTTTAAATGTTTCTTTACGAACGCACAGTCAATTGCTATGCGTGTGCCACCGATAGAAAGGCGTAGTTTTACAAATAAAGTATTATTATATAAAGTCAATTTAAAATTATAAAGAAGCATGAAGGTTAAAAGTCGTCTTAACTACAGCCTAGAGTAATAGGAAAATTAGTCATCTTATATAATTAACATTTTCAGGGAGTTGTGGCACCATTTAAATAGTGATATAAAATACAAAGAAAGCTCTACTGGTAGGTAAAAGCTCATGGAAGAAAGCAAAACCCTTCTTGCTCATCCTATCACAGTTACTTTTACAACCCTAACCTAGTGGAAAAGTTGAACACTACAATCCCAATTTGCCGCCAACAAATCATAACCACTGACCAATCATCAGTCAAATTCACTTCATGTCACCAACTTCTTTTCAGGCAACCACCGCACTTCATTTTCTTACTAAATATGAATTGGATTTTTCCGTTATTTATATGAAAAGAGCATAAAGGAGTTTAAGAGAATACTAATGCAGGGTCTAGTTGTTCAAATGATGCACTGATCCGTGAATATAACTTGTGTTTCATTAGGAAGCTTTCAATCAAGAACGTACAAGAATGTGGAACGAATTCACTCATCCGTGACTGTTGTCGTGTGCCTTCTACGATGTACTGTAAACAAATTTTTATGTTTTACAACACATACGCAGAAATTTCAAAATGCAAAGTCTGGTGCACCAACGTTTAATTTAGTGCTGTTACCCATTCAGACCTTCAAGTGGATTTGGCCGACGACCGTTTAGGATTCTAGGAGAAAACGTAATGCTCAACGTTCAGATATGCGCAGTTCAACATGACGTCTTTATGTTCTACATTCAAAACATCCTTATTACGCAACCCTCACCATTAACATTGCAGCCATACTTTGAGTCTCACTCACAGCTAGTTGGTTTTTTTACTTCATAACTTTCTTTATTATCATGATTTTATTTTTGTTTTTTATGTATCTTTTACTTTTATATTTTCTCACTGACGTAAAGCTTGTCTTTTTTTTACTCCATAATTTTCTTTTGAAAGACTGAAAAGCAAGACACAGTGTCACTTTATTCTCAAAATTAAATCTGATATAAAAGAAAAAGGGCTTAAATTCAAAAATATTGTTGAATTTTATAAACTTAGAGAAATAGCTAGAAACAAAATCCGATGGAAAGGAATGTTTAAAAAATTATTTGTTATGTAAAACAAGGCAGTCACTTATCAGACACAAAATTAATTTATTTTGCATCTGCCTAATAATATAATACTTCTTTTTAGCTTTATTTTATTTTTGTATCTTATGTATCTTTTTCTTGTTTCTACAATCCCACTTCTCATTATGGCAATGATGAAAAGCCCTGTTATGCTTTACAAACACAGTTTCCTTCTATTCAGTTTTTCTATCTTTTTGCATTTGGTTTTTCTGTCTGGCACTTCGGTCACTTTAAAAGCAAAGACAATATATTACAACTGCAGCACTAGTTTGGGTCTTGATGAATTTATCTTTCATTTTTACTATAAAATTTTAATGATTTTTTTAATGAGGAAAAGCCCTATGATCTGTATTACAAACAGACGCAGTAAGTGTCAGTGTAGTATTTTTTTCTAGGCCAGTAATAACAGCCAATAGTGGGTTTGATCACTTCAAGCATTTCCATACAATTGGGCCTGAGCTTGTTGGGATTGTATGAAAACCAGACCTAATCATAAAGGTAAAATTACCTTCTGAAATGGGATTTAGGATTATGCGCAAAAAAAAAAAAAAAAAAAAAAAAAAAAAAAAAAAAAAAAAAAAAAAAAAAAAAAACCAAAACATTCTTCAAACATTACTTACTAAAATATAAATATCAATAAAATTACCGTTAGTTTTCTCTCATTTTCGTCTTTTCCAAGAATTAGCGAACCACTGTGGGTGCCCACAATAAAAACAGATGGCAAATCTGTACTACTGTCAGCGTCTTGTTCCATTACACGTGTGTCAGAGTAAATGGTACTAATCCAGTACAGGATAACCTGAAGATTCGTCATATGGTATTTATGCCATTCCTACAATAAAACATTAAAAGAAAGATACAACTGAACTGATAAGTTTAAAAGTATCACAATCATATATTCCAATTTTGAGTAATGCTGTTTGCATCAGGAAACACAATAGGAGTGTTTATGCCCAACCTGATGTGGTGGGTTCAGGAATTTGAAATAGAGGAAGCCCTTTCGCAGATGTCAGATTGGAGAAAAAATATCATTTCATTTTATTTCAATACACATCCAAACATCAGGTAGCCTGCCAGTAACACTATGAAATACAGTAAAACAATATATTTAATATGTTTCAATGACAGAAATCGTTAATTTAAATAATTTACAATTAACTTACAGTAATATGTGCCATTGAAAATCAATGAATTATAAGGTAGCATACTAGTTAAAATTACAACTATGTATTCATACTTAACAATCTTCTTACACAAACAGTGACATTTCTAGTATTATAATATTTTATTTATTAAAATACCAATATTGATATATCGCCACTCTCTAATTAATTTTACGAAATGCAAACCTACTAACATCAAGTAGGATATGATAAAATACTATATTAGTAATGCATATCATGAGTTTGGACTTGTATGTAAACATTACTGCTATCTGTAAAGTTTATAATATGCTAAATTTGGTGTGCAATAGATCACAGCCAAGTGAGATACCTCTGTTGATATGAAAAAGCTAACAAGCAAGTTAGAAAGCATGTCTCTAATACCTTGGAAGAATCCAGAACAAATGCAAATGAATCAAGGTTGTCTTCAAGATTGAAGACTACAAGATAAATGGCAACAGAAACCATCAGAATCTGTGAAAATATAATAAAAATAATTTTGATAATTGTGGATGCGACATACATTTTATCAGATAGTGACACTTATGGGCATGTAAATATCAAATAAAAAAAAAACAAACAGGACCAAACAATGTCAACTCAATGTCGTGTCAACTCAATTCACCAAAATCTGAATTAAGGTTAATGTGAAAATACTGAATAAATTTAAAATAAAAAATGAATATTATTAGGCAGGGACATTCAGATTCTTGGATAAAAGATAATAGAGCTATAAGTTATTTTTGTCCACATAAATGATAAAACTCATGTAATTATATGCCAACCTCTCATCAATTAATAATCATGTCCACCACTAATTTTAACTTGATTTTAGTGAAATTTAGATTGCTTTAAAAAAAATAAATAACATTAATCAACAAAGAATAAATCTAATTGTTATCTAGGACCTTATATAATTTCATTGGAGTTACCGAAAATGTAAAATTGAGCAAAAACTAATACCATATGTAGTGACATGTTTTACTCTAATCATGGAGTTATAAATTATAACTCCATGCTCTAATTCTAGCTTTTACAACATTTAAACGTTTTCTAAATTACATGATACTTTACCCTTTGTATGCCTTTGTAGATGAGTTGGCCTCCAAAGTCCAGAATGTTAAAGGTCCCTTCTTGTGCTCTGTGCCATTTTCCTAATGTTTCCTTCTTTTTCACAGTTTTTTCCAGCTTGTCCTCTATTTTCTTCTGAAGCTGCTCAGGCACATGGTCTTTTTCCTTCTTTTTCACAGTTTTTTCCAGCTTGTCCTCTATTTTCTCCTGAACCTGCTCAGGTACATGGTCTTTTTCAACATGCTCAGCTACATGCTCTTTTTCCAATGTGACTACATCTTTTACATCATTAGTGGGAGACTGAACCTCTGACTACATGTTATAAAATAAATATTTATTATTTATTTTCAGCAGTTAAAATCTGAACAATAAGAGTTTTGCTTTTTTAAATCTATTCAAGAAGGGAAAAGTTCTACATTACTTATTTTTAGTACAATAAAAATGAAAATGAGTTTTATTTTATTTCAAGAAGGAAAGTTTTCTTTACAGATTTTCATAAATTACCTCTGCTCTAAGGAATCTCCCAGATCCTACAATTTCAATTTTCTGTAGAATCGAACAAATTGTTTTGTGATTTGTGTGATCTGTGATTTATACAAAAAAACAAATTTTAAATGAAAAAAAAAAATAATATGGGTATTATTACCTTGTTAAACAATGATATTAATTGTTTGACTGATTTAGATTTTTTCTCATCCTTTACACTTGATTCTGAGTCCTCACGTCTTGTTTCCTTCTTACTTGATGTCTGCATATTTTCTGAGTCAGCTTCATTATTTGTGCTTTCTGCCGTTGGACTCTCCTTTCCTCCATCCAAAAGTTTTCTAGTTACAATGTGTGCAACACCTGAATCATAAATTTCAGCTGCTTTTTCTGGTGACAAAGCAAACAAATCATTGTACACAGGAATTGTACACAGAACCCGGCTGGGATTTGAAGGCAAGTATTATAATTACCAAGCCACAACTCCTCTGTGTTCTTTTGTTATTTGGTTATTTTAATTAGTTATATATTTATTTGTTACTTTTTCTGTTGTGCTGTCTGTCTGTCTATTTGTTTATTATTAATTCTTGCTGTTTTACTTCATCAAATATGGAAATTGTAGGGGAAAAAGGAAAATTTAAATCAAATTCCCTATTAGAGTTGCTTACCACTTACAGTTAAAGGTCATAATTTTAAAATCTTTATGAAAAATCCTTTAATTTTGGACACATAAAGTATTAGAAACCCTTCAGCTACAATATACATAATTAAAAATTACCATTTCAAAAAAATATTTTATAAATAACACAAACAAAACATAATTAGGAAACTTGACTTTAATTTAGGTACAACACAGAGAGGTCTGTGTTTCTTTGCACGTTGAGAGACAATTTCAGTTCTGTTACTTTTATTATGCCTGTATGTATTCAGAAGTGGGGTGGCGGTGATCTGGGTTAAACTTTAACATCTCCCCCCATATTCAGGTATTTAAAAATAGTTCCAGTCAGTGTATGGTGATGAGAAGAAAGACTTTGCGAGAGGGTAGCCACAACAATACGATAGCCAAGATATATTCGTGTCGGGTCGTTTCGGCCCTGCATCCTTCTGGAGTTTTCCATCAATATTTTTTTACTGTAAATGACATGACTATACAGGTGTAATTTAATATGTTTCAATATTGTTTTTGTTTATTACTTTTGGCTATTTTCCCTGGATCATTGATACTTTTTTGCTGTGAATGAGAGGAACAATTTAATACTTTTCCAAATAATTTTTCATAATTTTTTTTATGAGATAAAAGAGATCTTTCTACAAATACAATCTTCCTATATTGAAATAGTCTTGTCTCTTTTTTGCTTCTGAAAATACATAAAATGAAACTTCTTGCAATGACTATTGATGCATCATCACATTTTATGTTATGCCAAGTGTCTTTTTACAGTTAAAATTCAATACTTTTCTGTATTGTTGGTGTTTATAATGAAATAATCTTTCTACATTGATTCATTATGCCATTTCATACTACACAACTTTTCCATTTTATAGTTCTGTATATTTTTGACAGATAAAATATTAAGAGATCTTAATACATCATCTTACTGGCGTTACTTGAGCCCCAATGTTCGTTAGGAATAATATATGCAAAATCAGCGAAAACCAATTTTTTTTTTTCCGACCTGTTTCTAGTAGCTTATTTCCCTTTTAAAAAAGCTATTCCAAAATTTTAATTAAAATTCTTGAGGTATTTTCTGATTTTTTTTTCCACCAAAGACAGTGTGTCTAACTATACTTAAAATAAGACATGCACACATTATTTCTATTAACTGCAACACAAATCAAATGAAAGCACGCTTGGTCTATTGTTGACAGATTAGGAAAGTGTTGATGAGTGTAACCCTTTATATGGCACTATTTGATATTTTCTAATTCATTTCTAACCCCGATCGTTTCGTCCACCTTACCAGGGTTGTTTTTTGCCTTAACGACCCGATCCACTGATTACAGTGAAATCCTCAGGGTCTGTTACTATATTTTTTTTTTCATGGCAAACCTTTTTGAGATACAGTACTGTATGTTAGTATTGTTTGCATCTGGAAATGAATATAATGAAATAAATAAAAAACATGGCAACCAAAAGCTACACTGATACAACAAGTGTCCAAGATTATGATTATAGAGTGGTATTCAAGTTTCTTTCTAAATTAATATTTTTAGTTGTGGGAACCAAGGCAGTGTTAAATCCTCAAATAGCTTGATTTAAAGCCATAGTCTGAGCACAGATCACTTAAAGTTTGAACAGTACTGTATTTAAAAACTGTTGAATAAATATACAGTATTCCCATCATGTTATTGTGTTTAATTTACACTGTTGGAAGCAATAAAGAAATAAATGCAATAAAGAAATATATGGTATGTCATTAGTATTAAAGTGCTGTTTGTAAGTTATGAATTTTAATTTATTATTGTATACATATTGCTAAAGACATGTCAAATTCACCACTTACCATCCCCAGCATTTTCTTCCCACTTATCAGCTTCAGCAGTGTTTTTGGAAACGACCTTTTTGACAGCAATGCAATCAGTTATGTCATGATTTTCATTAAATCTTTAAAAAAAATGCTTTGATGTTAGGGCCAATCTAAGTACAGTAATATAAAGTAATAATTAAAATACTATGCTATCGGTTGTTATTTGCTTTCCAAAACTAAATAAAAACATATAACACATTGATATAATAATTTACTAACCAATTTACAGTAGCTATAACAATGGTGGCAGTAGCATGATACTAATATTAATAATGATGTTAATGATGATGATAACGATAATGATGATGAAAATAATGATGCACACTTGAGGCAATTCAACAAAAGGACGCTTGCTGTGCGTCCCTACATGATTGACAGAGTTTCACATGGCCTGATTGTCGTGCAGTGATTATAAACACCAAAAGATTTTTTGGTCTAACAATAGTTCAAAATTATATTCGTTTTTTAAAGATTAATTTTACAAACGAGGTGGTGTCCAGTGGTTCACGGGACTCTTTTTGCAAAAAAAAATATATGTTAGCTATTCAAAAATTTGTTTTGTGCACCTTAGTCCAACATTGTAGATAGATAGAATCTTTCTTTATTCTGGATACTTAATCAACTTTTACATTCTTCTTCCTTAAGGTCCAGTTAATAGTTAAAACATTAAAATAAGAAATGAAGTTAAGAAATTATATACAAAAACAAAAGAAAATTTGGTAAACACAAGCCAAATTTGGTATACACCAGAAGCAAAATGAAAATGTAATATTAAATCAAATTTTTGAAGGAATGCTAAGTTAAGGAATTTATTGAACTGCAAGTATCAGGGGGAAGATTGTTCCACAGTTTAACTGAGCAGTATTTGCAAAATGAAAATTTTGAAAAAACAGAAATTTTTGTTTGCTATAACATTTCACTTTGTTGGTCAATTTTCAGAAATCAAATTGTAGAAGCACGTAACAAGATCTTGGCCAAAAGAAATCAGATGTAACAGACATTGTGAAGCACCCAAAAGTAATTAAATAGTATTCAGAACCATAAACGTATGGCAGGAATAGTCAAATAAGAAACGGCTATACTCGCAACTTGTATAAAATTGCCACAGAAGTTAAGATCAAACGACAGTAAACACACGCTACGATCCGTCCTTTTGTTGAATTGCCTTGATAATAATAATGATAACAATAATAGTAATGATGATGGTAATAGTTTAAATCATGATAATATTAAAGTAAAGGCAGGAGAATAACACATAATTCGCAGCATCATTGTGCTGACTTGAAAGAGTGATAATTAACCAACTCCATAAATATCTAGAAGATTTCCAACTCTTTGAACCATAACAGTTTACTTATAGGTGTCACCACGCACTGAAACTGCTGTACTAAAAGTTTATACTGACATCTCTTGCTGTTCACAAAGGCAAGGGTGTCATGCTTGTCCTTTTTGACCTCTCTGCTGCATTTAACACAGTAGATCATTGCATTCTGGTTAAACGTCTTGAATCTATTTTTGGCATTACAGGGTGTGCCCTTGAATTGATTAAGTCCTATCTATGTGCTTTAAGTGGTAGGGTTTCTATTTCTGGTTCATATTCTGCCCCACATCCCCTACTCTATGGAGTGCCCCAAGGTTCAGTTATTGGTCCATGTTTATACGTCTCTACATTTGTCCACAGTGATATTATCAGGCATTATGGCATTCAATTTTACTTTTACGCCGATGATCTTCATCTTTAGGTAACTTTTGATCCCAGCAATGCTAGCAGCACTGTCTTCACTTTATCCCTTTTTTTGCTAATATTTAGCAGTGGTTGTTAGGCAACAAATTTTCAATAGTTCCTCCCACTTTGCTTGATCGCATTTGTGTATTGTTTTCTTAATATTCTACTGCTTTATTGCATTAGTTAAGTTAGCTCATATTGGTTTGATTCTATACAAGCTTTACTTGGGGGGGATGTTTTTGATTTATTGTGGAGAATCGCTTACAGTGCTTCGTAACTGAAAAGAAAGGCGCTATACAAGTAACAAGTAAAACAACGGACCATTAAATAAATAAAAAAACAGAATTTTGTTCAGATATGGACTCTCAATGACAAATTAATGCTTGTTAATGTACAAAAGTAACATACTATGCCATTTACAGATTAATGTACCTTTTTTCAGATTTCAACAATAAGTGGGAAACGCTCTAGTTATGCCACTGCTGTATAACTTTGTTTCTTTGTTGTTCAACGACTTATATTTCCAATGGTCAATATTGGTAATAATGTTTTGTGACCTTAAAATCTGGGC